AGCTTACAAATATTCCCATAAAGAGCGAAAAGATCGAGAAATCGTGGTCTCTGTCCCCTGCCGAACGGACCCTTAAATCCTTCGATCTCATGTATCGCTCGAGCTTAGCTCTTTCTTCCCCCCTTTCGAAACAAGAGGACTTCTACCAGTTATCTACGTTCCGCAAAGGCTCGATTGAAGCTCGTCGACCAACTATCGACAACCTTTCAATAGACACAAGCATAGTGCCATGACTAGCAAACAATGGACTCGCGCACGCTCACTCTCCCCCAGCTGCAACGCTGACAGGATCAAATTTCTCGCACGAAGATACTCAGTGAGGGAAGCCGCGGTGCAAGTTCGCAAGCGGATGGGAGGGAGAAATGGACTTTGCTCGTTACATATAGGCATTGTTATGTAGGTAGCATCACCCTTTCTTTATCGCAATGAGGTTGGTACTTGCAAGTTGCCAGAGACCAAGCCAGTCCGTACGCCCCCTCTACCCTTCCATCCGGCGCGCGGGGTTTTGATGCCCGAGAATCTACTGACAGTAATGGCACGAGGACAGGGCACTCTCAGATCTATCACGCGCAAGGCAATTGTCGTCGAACCTTATTGGCCCCCCTTCATCGCGCGGGGTACTTTTCTGTTCCACCGCTGGGGATAGGACATGTGGCGACTAATGAAACGGCGCTGCGATATGAGAGATCAACGAGCGCTTGTGACTCACGGAGTAACGGGTGCTTGCTACGACGCAATGACCAAGCCACTTCATCCACCAGTGCACGAGTGGGCCCTCATTTCCATCTGAGAAAGGACAAGGCGCTGCGACAAGGGAAAGCAGCAAAACAGGCCGGCAGCGTGCAACGACAATTGTCGCGCGCGCGCACGGCCTGTTTTAGTGCTGCCTGAGATGACAGCTTTCCGAACCCGAGGCGCACGTAGGCGTGCGCGCGGGTTCGATTGATGCAAGGTCTAGCAGCAAAGTAGGTGTCAGCCTAGCCGCGCAAACGCAGAAAACAAGTTTACCATTCAGGCGTTCGCAAAGACGTTGTACAGCACCGTGGTTGTGCTTCGGCGTAGTTGATGACAACGCAAAGCGACCCCCTTCAATGGCGACGTAGGTAGACCCTCAATATTGACAGGTGAATTGTACGTGTGCTCTGTTGCAAAGACTCGGCCCTTGGACATGGCGCATTGACTTTATGCTCGCAAGTCTAGCCACGCTCCTAGGGGTAATGTCACGAAGGTCGATATCATGTGGGGCAAACACGCGGATGTTGATGTGTGCCGATGGTGAGACCATGAGGCGGGTGAGAACGATAAGAGTCCAGGTCGTGGAGGATCGCATTCGAGGCAGCGAAATGACACCGGTGCTAGGGTGTTGCAGTCTATTGGATGGAAACGCAATGTCTTCCGGCGTGAGCTCCTCCAATGCAGGCGAGTTGGAGGCTGTGATGAAAAATTGCCGCATGCTGGTCGTGGCAAGTTCGATGCTGGCGAGGGAAAGCCGTGCGAAATCTTTGAGGTCGAAGGGAAGCGAGAGCGAGAGGAGCATCTGAGGAGGGCTGAGAGAGGAGAGAGAGAAAGCTGGAAGTAACCACAAAATTGTAACGGGATCGTTGTTGTGCGTCGCGAGGACCCGGAATCAGTGATGTCTAAAATTGACCAGGAGTTGAGTAAGATGGTCGAGAACCTGCGAGCGTAATGCCACATACCGGGCTTATGCATATGAGGGCAAGTAGTACCTGTACGACGGCGAGCTGAAGCGGGGAGGGAAAGCAGGAGAACGCGGGGGCGACGGCGAGACCGTCCTGCATGCACCATTTTATATCCCGAGGTATGGCTCCTACAGGGAGGTGGAATCAACATGTCGGGCGCCTCGCATCTGGAGCAGCAGGGATCGCACCTGATTGCACGCCGTCCGCGCGCCGTTGCATTGCTTCCTCGGTCGATCGCCTTAACTCCGGTCTGGTCCCACAAGCTTCAGACTCGTGAAAATGGCCGCTGCATGGGAAGGAATGACAGCAGGTCTGAAAAGGCCTGCGGCCGGCCGACAATCATAGATAATTGTATACTATGCTCTGACGCCTGAAACGCGGGGTTTGTAGAAGTCTACCCGTGAAACGGAAATATATGCCCTTCTCGGGTAGGCTTCCATGCCAGCTTCTTTCCTGCGTTTCAGGCGTGTTGTCGGTTCACGCGATCCGCGTATCATATATATGGCTGCTACTGAAATATCGACACCGTAGACCGATAACTTTTTGATCATCGCGCCTTTTACTGGGGCCCGAAGCCACAAGTTGAAAGAACAGTATCAAGGATTGGGATCCATTAGAGCGGGGAAGTTGCGAGTTGAACGCTGAGCTGAGTGTCTTCCCCGCGCATATATCTCGTGAAACAAGATCAGAAAACGAGGCACTCTTCTGTTACATCGCTAGGGGCAGGGCGCGCGGCGACTGAGGACACGGCATCGCGTTATGGGTAACGACACTGAGATCGACTAGCGCTCGTGAGTGTGTAGTAGCCCCGCGGCATTACGGGGCAACAAGTACTTGCCACAACGCGACAGCCGAGCCACTTTACGTGTCAGCGCATGGCGGGCTCCCATTTGAGAGACGACAAGGGAAAGCAGTAAAAACAGGCCAGCGGCGTGCAGCGACAATTGTCGCGCGCGCGCGCACGGCCTGTTTTGGGGCCGCCCGAGATATGACAGCTTTCCAAGCCCCAGATACACATGTGCTGGACAGAAAAGGGCGTGTGCGTGGGTTCGATCCATGCAAAGTCTAGCAGCAAAGTAGACATCAGCCTGGCCGCGCAAACGCAGAAAGCGAGACGATAATATGTACTCCAGTCAGCATTGGTGTATACCTTTGCTCATCTCCATACAAATGAGCATGCGGCGTCGCCCTGAGATGTTATCGCGCAAGGTCACATCGTGGATGGTGAGCATTAATTATGGCCTTGCGAGTGAGGATGTCGCTTACCGTTCAAACTCGTAAAAGGCTCGGGCAACCCGCGCTGATCTTTCGCTTCCGTGCTCGCAGGGACAATGTTGCGCTGACACCATGACGGGCGTGGACACGGATATCGATGAGTATTGATGATGAGGCCGTCAATGGGTGCAAATAGGACGGGCGCAACGGGTTGGCTGGAAGGGACCGCACTGCTGGTGCTGGTGCTGGCGGTCGTAGGGAGATTTCGTGAGCCGCGGCCTCCTCTGAGGATGGGAGGAGCTGAGCATGACACTTTGCGAACGTGCCACGGCCCGGGGCTTTAACTGGGGCTCTCCAACTTCGCTTATCACTGTTACGCGGCTACGCCATAAGAGTGCAAGGAATATTCGGTGGTAGTTCACCAGCGTAAGCTCTCGCAGGTGCTTGAACGGCCAAAGTAAGTATGGTGCGAAGGTCATCGAATGCGGGTTGCGCAAGAGAATTAATAGTAATATATGCGCGCGTGTAGCCAGCGTGCAAGGATATATCGTGCCTGTGCGATAGCGAGTCATGGTCTGCCGGGGTGACCTGGTGAGGAGAGGGCCCGATGGCGAGGGCGACGACAGGCGACCGTCGGATGGCTATATGCGAGCGCTTATCTAATGCCACGTGGCTCGCGCGCTCCCATTTTCCTACCATCTTCCTATGATACTTAGAATCCCCTTTCCAATTCCCCATCCTTGTTCATGTTGATGTCGCTCCTCAGTGCCCCGAGCTCAATTGCAGCGATATGCGCGCCCAATACGCTTGGGCAAGGCCGAGTACTGAGTAAGTGCGCGTGCTGATCGATCGATCAGCGGGCATTGGCAGACTGTAAGCACAAATTTCCGCTCTGTCATCGTCGTGCATCATACGCCCTCCGTCGTGACTACCTCAATTTACTATTGCCTTGACTGTTTTTTCTTTTGCTTACGATGGCGTTTTGTTTTCAAGTCGTGACCGCGCATACCGCTTGAAAACCTGTTCGCCATTGTGCATCTCAGATCCGATCGGCCTCCGCATTGTAAGTAAACAAATTCCGCGTCTCTCTCAAATTGCTTCATCGGCGTCTAAACATACTTAGCCAGGGGATTGTGACAGCGTAAATCTCAAGATGGCTGCGCCCAGCCCATCGTTTTCTCTTTTCTTTCCAGCCCCTCCTGGCTTCTCTGCGCGCACCAAGCGTCATGGACAACGATAGTTTCCCTGATGGTCCAGCTGAAATGCTCCCTCCAAGATAGTAGGTAGGCGCAATGACCGCCGCGTAGAACTGGTTTCTCATTGTGAATGCCGCATTTTAGTTTGGGGGGTGGCTTCCTATCCCGCACTGCCATCGCTCATTGCCAAAAACAAGTGGGGTAGCATGGAAATAAAGGGATGGGCAGCCGACTGTTGCCGCTATGAAGACGCTTGCCTGGGCTGCCCGCTAGGCCTTCGTCCTGCGCAGCACCATTTTTACAATTAATGCGCCCATGCTCGCCGTATGGCCTTGGCTTCTATCAACTATACGATTGGGCCTGTGTTTTTGGCTCTATGCTAACTCTACAGCTCCGTAGAGCTACCAAAAATGTCACGTCGCAGCTTTAACTCTAGCTTGGGACGCCTTATCATAAAGTCCCCTACGTCTTGCGCCACCCGCTACACACGAGCAGCGTAGACCTTCGATACCAAGTCAATCATACCAAACACACGAAGCTGGCGCGAAAAACCCGAAACGACCGCTCTTTCACTCGAGATTGCTACGCTCCTGGCCACACAGTGCCAACCCTTCACCGGGCATGATCTCGCCGGCCACCGCTGCAAGTTGTAGCACCATACAGGCTACGGTTGCTTGGCGATGACCCACTCTGGTAGTCTCAGACGATGCGGGCTCCTCATGTGTACCATGGGGCGACTGCTACTACGCCCCTACGCTCGACCAAAAACAAGCTCGGTGAGGGCCATCACATGCTGTGCGCGCATCGGTGCTCACCCATCCTCTCCTCTGCTCACAGGGGCTGAAGTATGTGCGTAGGAAAGGGCGAGGAGGGGCAAAAAAAAGCCGCACGCCGCGTGAGGGAATCGAACCCCCGGCCACCCACCCTCTTGACGCCCACTGTCTTTCCGGCCTCCGGTGCGTAGACTCTCCGGTCTCAGATCGAGCTGCTCTTCCACTGAGCTAACGCAGGCGCGCGCTGATAATAGAGAATTGCGCCCATATAACCAGGAGCTGAACTCCAAGGCTGTGCTTTTTGGACGAGTTTCCGGCCGACCTCGCAAGAACGAACTTCAATTTTTCAGTGTATCAATTAATGTGATTGTTCCCCACTTCGAAGTTCAGCGCCGAGACAACAGAGGGAGCAAAGAGGCCAGGCCGCGTGTATAGCTCGCACTGTTCAGGCCTATTCTGCCGACACAGCCGCGCTGCACCCTATACGCATCAATACCCGCTATTGGCTATTAGTATCTGTCACCCTCGCCAGCTACGCAGTATTGACTGGCTCCAGGATGAAGACATCCCTCGACTACATAACCTACAGTTGCCATCTTGTTTTTTTTTTTAGACCGTCGCATGCGCCAAACTGCGGACGACTCAACAATATGCCGAGGACGCGAAGATTTCATCTCCTTTCGCCGTCCATAAGATAAATTATCGTGCTTTACAGAGTATAGTCCGAGCTTGATTTATTTAAGATTGCGTATACATAGAGGGCTAAGCCGAAATTTAAACTGCTGGAATACTTACGGGATGTTGAACAGACGCACGCTGTGTCAAGGTGTGTCGTTAGTACTAACGTTTGAACCTTGGCTTGTTCGCGCGTCTTTCCATGTACTTACGTAGCCATAGGCAGGCTTGAAGCTGTGGTTTGCCGTCGTAAACCCAGCAATGTTTGAAATTTCTTCCCCGTCGACCCTTCTTCTTCAGCCTCGCACTCAAAGTTGGGCAGAAGTAGTCAAGGAAATCTGGGAGATCCGATATCTGGTCGGGCACAGTAAACAAGCCAGGGTGTCCGTGTGCGATGGGCAGAGTGAGTAGGTTCGATTTTGTCGCCCCCTTTGTTTCATGAGGAGAATTGAATAGCGCTTTGTATTTCACCCAATGCTATCTAGACAACTCTGTATCGTGACGAGTGCAGTAATCCTGGCGCGCAAACTATACACTTCCAAGCGATACATCTGACGACCAAGTGTACACAGTCTTGTGACAGTCACTCGTACGTACACATACATTGGTGCGGACGAGATGCGCGCTCATGCCACACTTGTGCGCATGCATCATGCAAATAAACTTTCGCAGCTCTGCCGTGTTGATACAAATCAATTTGAACAATACCACATGATACTTGTTGATAATGATGAATGATTCCCAGCCCAATGATACCGAAACCCAAGATAAAAGGAAGGAACATGAAAGGAAGGAAGGTAAAAGGAAGAACGGCCAGTGCGCGAGGCCTGCACTGGTCAAGTCATGAGATAAATCGTACCACAACATGTTGCACCCTACTCGTCAATCAATGTCACATTATCAACCAACTCTGCCAGCCGCCGCACCGTGTCGTCCGTGATCGCCCAGCACCGGCCAATCTCGATGGTTTGCAGACGGGGAAATTTGATCGCGATGCTTCGTGATCGCGCCACAGGTATCACCTGGGGTTCTCCGACTTCGCCCAACACCCGCAACCTATGTAAGCGTGGACAATTTTGCTGCCGCTTCGAAAGGATGAGGCTCTCGACAAGGAAGCGGTGGCAATACGCCAGTGTGAGTTCGCGCAGATGTTTGAAGGGATAAAGTACGGTGGCGAGATCGCTGGAAGAGGGCTGCATTTGCCACACTTCATTTTCCCACGATTGGAGGAACAATGCATCAAGTCGTGCGGGCAAGAGCAAGTTGAGGTTGGCGAAAATGTCGTACAGCACCGTCGTCTGCTTGGCACAATCGATGATGACACGAAGCGATCCTCCGCCTTCGGAGACGTAAGCATGGCCCTCGATATGGACAGACATGGTACGCGAGTTGAATGTGTGCTCCATCGCAAAAACTCGGGCTTCGCGCAAGGCCTTCACGTTCGCAAGCCTAGCGACGTTCTCGGGGATAATGCTACGGAGGCCGACCTCATGGGGAGCAAAGACGCGTATGTCGAGATGCGCCGACGGAGAAGTCGTGAGGCGGGCCAGGATGTGTGACGTCAGCCAGAAACCGGAGTCGTGGATAACCAACCTCTCCAATCGAGCCAGTGGAACGACGCTGATGTTGAGGTGCTGCATCTGATCAGGCGGCAGCGAGATGTCCTCGAACGTCAGTTCCTCCAGTGCCGGGGAGTTCACGATCGTTATGAACAGCTGTCGCATGCTCGTAACAACGAAGTGAATTCTACTGAGATGAAGCCGGACGAGACCGTGGAGATTGAACGGAACATAGGCGCGCGACATGCTGAGCTCCTTGAGCCTCGGCGCGGCCCCAGTAAGCGAACCCAAGCCGCCTTGTCCACCTTCATTAAACGTCCGATCAGCGCGACCAACTGCTTCTGGTCCTTGTGCATGCACGTGAATAGCGAACGACTCCAGGGAGGGCATTGGTCGATTCAACCAAGCGAATTTTTGCAGGTCCGCGTCGCGCAGTGCATGTGACTGAATGAAGGTGATTGATCGCAGCCTGCCTATAATCGGGGACAGATCGAGGATGGTCAGCCGCCGGCGCTGCATGTGGTGTCCGATGCTGATGTCCAATGGAAGCGACCCGGAGAGCGCGAGAAATCGGGCGCAGTAGCTCGAAGGCAATGCAAAACTTGTCCATAAAACCGGCGAATTGACAACGACGCTCCTCCACCGCTTCGACACATGCCGGGGGGCGTAATATGCCTGCTCGCGATCCTGCTCAATTGACACGGCGACAGGTACCGCGACGCTGCGTGACAGACCTATGATGCGCGCGAGGATATTGTCCGACAATCGGTCGATAGGCGAAACCGGCAGCTTCCTTGGGCCTTGGATGGTTTGTGATCCCACCGCCGCATTGGCAGTGGTGGCAGTGGCAGTGGTCACGACGACAGACCCGCTGGGATGCGTAGATATAGTGGCTGTGCCAACGGATGGAAGCGGCAGGAACGCGGCGGATGCAAATGGCGGCAGTGTTGGCACGACGGATGCGACGGCAGAGGTTACGGAGGCGAAGGCAGAGGCGGCAAATGCAACAGCGCATGTGAGGAACGCGGGGGCCTGGGAGAAAATGGAGGTCGTGCTTGCGCTGGGGATTATCATGGATACAGGAGCCACGGCTTCTTCTCCTTCTTCTGAGACTGGTGGGGCGACCACCGGCGCACGGGCGGTTGACTTGCCCTTGATAAATTGCCGAATGTCGAGAATTTAGTGGATGACGAGGCAAGCCTCCCTCGATCGTTCACTCACCTTGACCTTTCGGGACTTCGTGGGCCGAGTAGCCTCTTTGACCCCGTCTTCGTCCTCATACTTCTCCTTGAGGGCAGTAGCGAGCTTGCGCTTCTTGACTGGCGCGGGAGGGCAGACGGGGCGAGGGTCGAGGAGACCCGCGACCATGCGGAAGGGACGGATCTTTCTCGGTGTTGCGGGACAACGGCGAACGTTGTGGTGAATTGGTGTTGCGGGTTCGGTTGCGACATACATCGTGATGCCTAAATGAAAGTGGTAAGAAAGAACGAGCGAGTGGGTCGAGGGAGGACCCGAGGAAGATGGGGGGAGCTGAGAGAGCAGGAAGGTCTCAGAGCTGCATTTATATCAGGGCTAACAAACAACGACGTAGATATGACGTAGAGGCCTTCCTTTGGTAAGCAGTATCGGCCATCCAACGCCGACACTCACCGCCATGCACTCATAGTGACAAATGTACGCTTTATGTAAGTCGTGCGCACGCTCGCAAAGTGCCTCTGGATGTTGACATTTGCGCCCCTAGTTACCGCGGGACCACCCTTCAGGCTACCATGCATGCTAGACGATGTTGTTGAACGCTGTGAGCGCCGCCGCTAGCCCCAAGGGTGAACGTGACTACATTACTTAATTGTCACATCCTTCGTCCACCGCTCACGTTCCTCCAACGCGCTCCCACCAATACTGGGCATGACGCCGAGTCTGACTCTACGAACGCTGGTCGCCACTGCTATCCACGCGCCAAACGCACGCGCAGCCCCCTCCTTCGCCCTCCCAAGCGTCTGCCGCTACTATTCACAAGCGAAGCCATCCACACGAAAATCTACGGCACCTTTGAGAGAAGCCACAAGACACAGGAAGAACGCCACAAATACGGCTGTAGGTGCAGGCATAAGCTCAGATGGGACAATATTGGCACAAGGAGGTAACACTCAAGGAGACCCACCGCTGTACGAGGTGAAGCCACCGTGGTACATCAAATGGATGTGGGTTCTCGTGGGGACGACAGTCATCTGGACGTGAGTAGTTGCACTTTGTCTCTACGCATCTGCCTACCTTTGCTTCCCCACTCCAACAAACTCTAACCTCACGTACCACGGCGTTTTGCAGAGGTACGGCGTCCGAGCTCGTATGGAACGAGTGGACGCAGCGAGTTGTCACCGCGTAGGTCTTGCCATCTGTCCCATCACGCGTCCACTTCCACTCAACATCCACCCGCACAACCACCATATCCAGCAATCCAGACGACCCATCTCGTGAGAAAATTGACTACGTCCCCCGGCCTATCTACCAGCGCGCCGCGCTCTGCGGCTTCATCATCTTTGGCGGCGTAGCGTGCGCCGCGGGCCTCTTCCTCGTCCGCGCACGCACCGTGACGCGCCTCGTGCTCCGCGGGAACGACGTGACCATCTCAACGTGGGGTGACTGGCGGGGCAGAGGCCGCGTCGTGGAAAAGCAGCTGTGCACGATCCAGGGGGGCAATAGTGCCCGTGCGTATTTTCTTTCTTCTCATCGCGAGGTGGGATCTTCCGTTGGACATTTTTTTACTCACGCGCTTCTTCTTACTTCTATTAGGCGCGGAGGAGATGACGCTGAACGTCGTCGGCGTTCGCGGGCGGTACCGCGTATCGCTGAAAGGCGCGTCGGTGAACGGCCGTCCAGGGGGCGTGTGGGACGTGAGAAGGGGACTGCAGGGACATTGGCATGGGGTTGCTCTTCGCGGCAAGTGGGTAGAAGGGGCTTCCGAGGGAGAGTGGTCGTAAAACGTGGCGCGTTCGGCGACGCGTTGT